ATCTCCCACACATTTCTTCTCCCTTCCCTTATATTCCCCTTCACTATTATTCATATTCCCCAAATGAGTGAGAACATACACTGTTTGTCCTTCTCCGATTGACTTAGAGAGTTATGAATTTAGTGTCATTGTGTTACCAGTAGAGTTGGGGTTTCTGGTGATGTTCTGTGGTCCTTTATAGTCTTTGTTGCTTTTGGTCTTTTTTTTTTTTTCCCTCCATTTAGAGAGTCCCCCTTAAAATTTCTTGCAGGGCTGGGTTGGTGGTTAGGAACTCCTTTCGTTGTTGTCTGGAAAACTCTGCCTTTCCTTCTATTCTGAATGACAGCCTTGCTGGATAAAGAATTCTTGGCTGCATATTTGTCCATTTATGTCCTTCCACTCCATTCTGACCTACCAGTTCCTATGGCCAGATCCCTATGAACATGATCTATCTTGCCTTATGAGTTAAAGATCTTTCTTCTCTTGCTGCTTTTAGAATTCTTTCCTTGTCTGTGTATTTTGTGAATTCGACTATGATATGCTTTGATGATGGCTGGCTTTTTTTTTTTTTATAATTTTTTTTTTTTTTTTTTTTTTAATGATAGAGAGAGAGAGAGGGAGGGAGGGAGGGAGGCAGGCAGAGACACAGGCAGAGGGAGAAGCAGGCTCCATGCACCGGGAGCCCGATGTGGGATTCGATCCTGGGTCTCCAGGATCGCGCCCTGGGCCAAAGGCAGGCGCCAAACCGCTGCGCCACCCAGGGATCCCCTGGCTTTTGAATTTAATAGGAATTATCTGTAATTCTTGGATTTTGATATCTGTGTCCTTCCCCAGATGAGACATTTTCAGCTATAATTTGTTCAAATAAGCCTTCTGACCCTTTATCTCTCTCTTGATCTTCTGGGACTCCTATGATACAAATGTTATTATGTTTTAATAAGTTGCTGAGTTCCCTAAGTCTGCCTTCATGGTCCATTACCTTTCTTTACCTCTCCTTTCCAGCTTCATTATTTTCCATAATTTGATTTTCTGTATCAATTACTCACTCCTCTGCTTCATCCATCTTCCTTTTATGGCCTCCATTTGTGTTTGCATTTCAGTTATAGCATTTTAAATTTTGACCTGACTAGACTTTTTTTTTTTTTTTTGTCTTGGCAATAAGGGATTCTCTAATGTCTTCTATGCTTTCTTCAAGTTTGCTACTTTCCTTATAATTGTTTTAAATTCGAGTTCAGATGTCTTACATATATATATATATATTGATTAAATCCCTGGCTGTGAGTTCTTCTCGTGTTCTTTCTTTTGGGGTAAATTCTTCCAGCTTGTCATTTTGTCCAGAACAGAAAAGAAGAAAGAGAAAAAAGAATAGTAATAATTAAAAAATAAAAAAGAAAAGAAAAACAAAACAAAACAAAAACCTAGATCATTCTACTTGTGAAAAAAATCTAGATCCCAAAATAAAAAACAAAATGAAAGTATACAAAAAAGTACATATATTAAACTAAGAATTAAGGGGTGCCTGGGTGGCTTGGTTGGTTAAGTGTTTGCCTTCTGCTTAGGTCCTGGGATTGAGCCCCACATCGGGCTCCCTGTTCAGCAGTGAGTCTGCTTCTTCCTCTCCCTTGTGTGCACTCTCTCACTCTCTCTCTCAAATAAAATCTCAAGAAAAATAAGAATTAAAATAAAAAATAAAAGCAGGAATTGGAAGATACAAGAAAATGAAAAAATAAATGTAAAAAGGCAGCTTGAGCCCCTTCCCCCTGGAGCTGAAGCTCTGCAACTCTCCATGATCAGTAAGTACAGTGGGACCTAGTAGACGGTGCCATCCTCTGGGGGCAGGACGAGGTGTAGGGCTTCCCGCCTCCACTCTGTGGCGCTGTTTTGCTGCCTGAAGACTTTCAGCACCGATGGGCGGGATGCAGCTGGTGGTGCCCTGCTCTGTAGCCTCGGAGATGAAAGTCCAGGCCCCTGCTCTTCAGGGAGCCCTCCCAGAAGAGCAAGCAGCCCCCCTAGATGTGACCCCGTTTCCATCTGAACCCTGATTCCCGCATCCGATCCCTTTCATCTCGGGCATGTGAGCCAGTTTCCAAAGTCTAAATTGCAAGGACTCACTATGGACCCTCGTCGGGGGCCGGGGGGGGGGGATGCCCTTAGGTCCCAGGAAAGCGGTGGCACGAGCACCTGTAGCAGAAAGCGGGCGCCAGGACCCGCTGCTCTCAGCCAACTCCCCGGCTCCTGTGTCTGCAGCAGCACCACACCTTGGCACCACCCCTTTTTCCAGCGACCCAGGGGATCTCAGACCACCCTGTCACTCCTGGGATTCCGCCCTCGCTCTGCCACCCGAGCACCTTCAAGCCAGGAGTGTCTCCACAGTGGCATATTTCCAAAAGTTCGGATTTTGCCCCTACTGCTTCTAACACTTTGCAGGAGCCTCAGCGGGCAGGCTCCCTCCCTGGGCCGCCTCCACAGCTGCACCTCCACCAAGCAACCTCTGCACCTCCTGCCTTCCAAAAGGGCGTTTCTTTGCTGCTTGTCGACTTGCAGTTTTTGTTCTCTCAGACCTCTGATTGAGTTCTTGGGTGTTCAGAATGATTTGAGAACTATCTCGCTGTGTTCCAGGGAGGAGGCAAGCTCAGGATCCTCCTACTTCTCTGCCATCTTAACTCCTCCTCCAGTTAACTAATAAATTCTTGATGTATTATTGAAAGTACTCTGTCCAGTGCCCTAACACTCCTTCCTCCACACTAGTAACATAATTTATGCTTGTTGCATCATAATGTGTATTGCAGATTTTCATGCTTATTCAGCTTCCATCTTCTTGAGGTAGATGTTTACACCATTTATTTTAATCTTTAATCAAATACTTAAGATAAAATTTTCCATGAATATTGCTTTAAGTTTGTACCATTGGTACTTTTATATATTAAAAATTGTTCATAATGTACATTTAAAAAAATTGTTAATTTTATTTAAAAGAGAAACTTTCCATTTAATTTTCAGTTGGCATTACATGTCTTCTGTGGTTGTCGTTATTTTCCGGTCTTATTTTATTGTGTATAGGGACTTTGCATATTCCTTTTTTAAAAACGTGAGGTTTTCCTCCATCCTAGCACAAACCTTTTGTTGCAGGGGACCATGTGTGCTATAAAGGTATGATGCTTTCATACATAAAATTTACAGTAATTATAAACTTCATTATATTTTCACCTTTTCTGAATAGCTTTGGATGTTAAAGATTATGAAAGGTTGGATTTGAAAGCTTTTTTCATTTATAGTATTAATTTGAAAGACAGATTTGGTTTTATACTTACTTCATATTTAAAGCTTATACTGGTACTCCGTGCCTTTGCTTTCCAATTTGTGTATTGCTAAAAAGGTAAGAGGCAAGAAGGCAAGACTGTTTTGTTTATGCTGCCTTGTAAACTATCTCCCTAGCACCTGGAATGGCCCATCACTGGTGTTGGGATTCTAGGAAGCTCACTTAATAACATCATTTTTCCAGATTGCAGTTCTGAAAGGGAAGGAAAGACAAGTGAATTGGTATAGATATCATTTTTTCATAGTATGGGTCCTTTTTTGTCCTTGGCACAGAGACTGTGTTAAGTTAAATTATTAACTGTTAGTTAAATTATTGCTAATTCATCTATGAGTTATATACTTACACACAGATTTTCTCTAAATGCATCTCTTGTGCTAGTTGAGGAAGAATTCACTTGGTTATAAGATTAAGGGTCACAGTTGGTTTCTCTGAAGATTTTGTAGGCTTTCTCCATGATCACATTTTGTACAGTGAATATGGTCTCATATCTCACTTGAGTTTTTATAGTGATCCTCAAATCATTCTTCGTCTTTGAATTAGACTCTTTGGGGGTAGTTTTGTTTTGTATTGCTTTATATATGTTTTTCTAAAGTGGGTTTCCACAAACTCACAAATTCCTTTTTGTATTACTTCTTTATTATTCTTATACAATTTCCTTTGTAATCTTTACCAGTAACATGGATTTTATAGGTTGTGGGCTTATCTTTCACAGCTTTCAATAGTTATTACTTAATCCTCTTTTGCTCATTTTAAGCCTGTCAGCAACATTGAGTGATTTTTAGCAGTATCTCTTTTCCTCTCTTGTACCTCTCAATGTGGTCTCTTTTAGATGGTTTTTATATTATTTTTGGAAGTTCTGAGGCTTTGCCAAGTTGTTTTCCCTTCTTTCTATGTAATTGCTTTCATCCTTTTGATTCTGCTTTGAAGTCCTATTTTTAAGGTTTTTAATAATTTGTTGTCTGTCCGTTACTAAAAGTATTGGATAATTTTTAAAGTTTTTCTCCAAGGCAAAGGATTCTTTGAATATTAATATTCAATTACTTTTTCACTCCTACCTTTTCCTTTTACTGTTATTTTTTTCATGCCATTTTCATCGAATTGAATTTTCCTTAAACCCCATGAATTCATGGTGATAATTTGCAGAGAAATACGTGCTATAGCAAGAACTCTTCCTGGCTCAAAATAATGACTGTTTAACACAGGACTTTTGGAAAGTTTGTGGGCCTAGTTGGGATTTTCCATAATTTAAGAATTAAATTAAAAGTAGCTGAGAAGCTACTTTTTATTTGTGGTTTGCATCCACTCATGACCTTCTTTGATTCCTACCACTTGAAACCATGGATAAAACAATGATACCTAGGTAAAGTCTTCCTTCCCACTCATAAGAATTTCCTGTTCCATATGTGTGGGGTTCCCTGGATATCTGTATATTTCCTTTGAAGAACAATTCTAAAGATTAAACATAATTTTACATTTCAATCCAAATTTACCTTGAAGGCAAAACCTAACATAAATCCCATGGCCAGTGCAGTAGTAGTTTCCCTAGATTCTCCTCTCTCCTTGGATTCTCCCATATGTTCTGGATAATCAGCTGGTAAACCATATTTATAGAGTATCTTTTGGGCGTTGTGAAATGTCTTGGATATTGGCTACCTGTCCCCAGTTATCAGATCCTTGCATTAAAATGTGGTTTTTCTTTCAGATCTAAATCAAAGCTCTGTCCTCTCTACTGGGTGACTCATAGGAAAATAAAAGGATACAGTGCCCAGAATCCAGCTGTCACCTCTCCTGACATTTAAACAACTCTCCAGTTCCTCAGACCCCTCAACCCCTCCAAGAACGCAAAAGATTCAATTTTTTCATCACAGTACATGCATACAGTGGGCAAAAAGCAAAGCTTGGTAATCACCTTGGCATTGCCTAGCTCTGTGATGCTGAAGACATTCTCATTTCTATGCATTACAGAAGAGATTCAGACTTCCAGGTATGGACCAATGTTCTCACTATTCTGAAGGGCAAGTACCTCAAAGCTCAGGGAGGAGGCAGGTGAGGGGTATAAAGCCAGAGGGACCAGTCCAAGTGCCCTAAAAAGAAAAATACTGGTATAAGAGCTGAGGGTACAGTTGGGGCAGGGTATCCCCCTACTTTCTGGCCTTGTAGCCATGGAGGAAGATAGGAAGGGGTCAGAGGTGAAATAGCTTTCATTAGTTTTGGAGATGAATATCAGTTTTCTTCCTCTGCAGAGTTCGTAAGCTTTGGAAGATGCCAGTTGAGCATTCTGCACTATGGAGACATGTACCTGACACCTTACAGGGTATGTATAGACTCTATTCTGGAAAATGTTTGAGAGTATCTGCTTTATATAGCAGTTCTTACACAGAACCTATTCTGGGCTCCTCAGAGGGTCTATATATGATGGCTCAGTGGAGCTCTGATATTGTTCATGAGCCCTGAATAGCAAATCAAGTTGAAGGTGGTTGATTTTAGTCCTTTGATCATCAGAAACGTTTGGCTGTTGGAGAGAGAGGTCCCTGTTTTAAGGCATATCTTGTGGTGATACGTGGGGTCAGGGTTCCAGTCATTGAGTGTGGGATGCTACTAAGCTGAGGCATAAATAGTTCTGAAATCATTCCAGCTTTAAGTTGAGAAGATGTGCTGCCATCTGACTAAACTGTAGTTGCATATTTGAGGAAACTCCCAGTCACCAAACTCCCCCGATTCCCGACATATCTGAAACTATACAACTCTAAAATTTCGAAGTCAAGGATCTTTGAGGAAAGTGACTTCTCTTCATTATTCTTCCAACACAACCTTGGCTTGGACCCTGTTCCTGCCCTCAGTGACAGGTAGGTGGTGACTTTATCCAGGCCGAAGGCTCTGCATTTCTTTCCTGGAAGTGGTAGACATTTCCTTAAGTGTCAGATAAGGGGCTCATGATGGTCCTCTCAGAAGTTGACGGATTTCAGAACCTAAAACTGGTGAACTCCTTCTCAGCAGATGGATTCCTAAGGGCAGTAGTTCAGCATCTTCAGAAGCTTTAGGCACTCAGTATGAGAGCGAATCGTCACAACTCAAGTATTGTCTCAATTAGAAAGGATGAATTCACTGCAGCCATTGGAGCCAAATATTCTTCCCACCGCTGAAGACTTCAATTCTACTTCATATACCTTCTGTTTGCTTCAGATGCCCAGACCCCAAACCCTCAAGCCCCTGGCATTCCATACCCCTGTGTCAGAAGAGAAGATGCCAAGAGCCTTCTGCAGGAAGTTCTGCTCCACTCTGTGGTTCCCTTCAGTTCCAGCCCAAATTCATCCACTGAGGGGTAGAAGTGAAGCCACAAAATGACTCAATCCCATTTCTTACCACCCTTACTTACATACCCTGCATCCTTCTTATCCTTTCTCTTCTTGCCAAATGGTTACCCTCTGGGGTTCCTATTTTTCAGAGGCATTCAGAACCATGAGAAGATATAACTCATCATAAACTGTGGTCAGGGAAACAGGCTTTTGAGCCAGATAAATATGAGCCAGTAGTTCAAACAATGCATTATATGCTCTCTGGGTTTTGTCAGGTCACGTGAATCCTATCCAAGTTTGTTTCCTAAGAGGAAGAGTGAAGATGATAATGGCAAACTTGTAGGGGCTTCTGAATAAATGGCAAGAAGTAAATACCTATCACCTAATATGTGATCAATATGATGATGTATTTGGGCAGATAGTTTCTTAGATCACCCATGAGTTATCCATAGACTTTGTATAGAGCAAGGCTGGAAGATGTAACTGAGTTCATGAGAATCCTTAGGCTTATAGTCTTGGAATGGACATCTCTGCTGGAATGGGAGTTCTCCGTTAGGGACCACAGCACTTTTTCATGTTAAAAACACTTTTCAAACAAATGTGTATGGTTTAGAAATCATAAAGCATGTTATTTTTAAGACAATGTTCTCCATGGAGGCAAGAAACCACATTCTGTGGTCCTGTTGGAAAGAGTCCGTGGCCTCTGTGCAGTAGTTAATGGACCTCTGAAACAAAGTCTAGATTTATACCATTTCCTGATTTCCTTGTATACTCTCAAAATTCAAGCTATCGAGGGCTTACCATCCAGTTTACAAAACTCTTGGATATTTTATAAGCAACTCTTAGAAGCCAGTGCATGCCAGGTCAAGCATAACTACTGGAGGGACTGAAGGGATGTATTAAAATTAGTAACTCTCGGGATGCCTGGGTGGCTCAGCAGTTAAGTGTCTGCCTTCGGGTCAGGGAGTGATCCTGGAATCCTAGGATCGGGATTGAGTCCCACATCAGGCTCCCTGCATGGAGCCTGCTTCTCCCTCTGCCATATGTCTCTACCTCTCTCTCTCTCTCTCATGAATAAATAAAATCTTTAAAAAAAATAAAATTAGTAACTCTCCTTTGTTGCCCCAGGATAGGAGTATTGTGTGAGGTGGATTCAGCACATTTAAAGTTCATAGAATTTTGCCTGGTGTACATTAAAGCTCCAGTTAAGATTTATTGGTTGATAAACTTCCCAAGTGACTTGAAATATCTGGAATATGTGAGGGCTGATACCCTCAATTTTCTTAATATGGTGTATATATGTGTGTATATATACAGTGTATATATGTGTGTACACACACACATACATATATATATATTAAAGTATATTAAACTATTAAGGAATTACTGTAGCAGTAATATTGGCACAATAACTTATTTATTGAAATAACAGCAAGAACAAAATTCACATCTACTTAATTTAACCAGGGAAATTTGCTTTTCATAGAACTAACAGCCACAAAAGAACAGCATACCAATATTGATTTATGTTTTAAGTTTGGTTTTAGTAAAATTGTTTTTAAAAGTTATATTTGTATTGAGCTCTCTAGAGAATGTTCAAGCTTTTACATTTTCTTTTCTATAGAAAATGCTTTCAAGAGGAAAAGTCATCACTGTATAATAATAAATCCTTAAATATTTCTGAATCTAAGAACAAAGCCCAAGATTTCCATGGTAAAACATTCAGGAGAATGTGCTCATGTTTTTCCAGCATTCCCTCTATAGCTGTCCCAGGTAGAACTGCCTCATCATTTGTACAGAGGCAGCTCCACAGAACAGGGGGTTAGGAGTCTCCAATCACACTGTTGTATGACAGGGGACTGTCTGTGAACATGAATGTCAGAGAATTCATCAGCCTGTGCTGAAGCAAGATACCTCCACCGATCGCCTAACCACTTTCTGAGGATCCCTTGATTGACACCAGCCCTAGGACAGCTCTAGATCCCAGGAAGACCTCTGACCTTAAGTCCCTTAAGGTGTGTTCTGTAGAGGTTGATACTTAAATCAGTTTGCACACCAAATCCAATTCCATTGAATTGGAAGAGGGGGAAAAAAAAACAACCCACAACCCCCAAATTCTCAAAAGAGGACTTGATCCCAGCTCAGAGGGGACCCTTGGATCCCGAACCTGCACTCTGGAGGCCTTCATTGTTAAACTGTTGGGGTTATAGTACAGAAAGTAGTTCCTTCCCTTTGTGTTTAGAAAGGGTAGTGTTGCTTCTGGTAGAAGGGTGAGCAAGAATAGTGCCATCAGAGCACTAAGGTTTGGCCCTGCATTGATATATCTAAAACAGAGGGCTTTGTTTATATGGTAAATTACTCTTTCACTGCTTTTTTACATTCACTGAGTCTCTCTGTATGCCATACCATTTAAGGGGACTCTAGTACACTGATGAACCAAGACAGGTGTTACTCTTGCTCTCCTAAGTTCACACAGCTGCGGGGGTGAGGCAGTCAAGCTACCAGTTGCAGGGAGGTATCCTAAGTGTCCTGCTGGGAAAATGGGGAGGTTTGGCACCAACATTAGATTAAATGGTCAGGGAAGGTGATATGATACGTAAACAGATTCTTAAAGAGTACAGAAGTTTGAGAATGCCAAGTTGGGGGTGGGAGGGAGGGTCTAGTAGAAGGACTGTGCACAGGCCAGACAGTACAGCAACTGGCACACTGCCCACAGGTAAGGCAAGTCCATAACACATATGATTTTATTTCAACCAAGGAGGAGTGAGTGATATTGAGGTGGTGAATCTGGCCATGTCTGATGGGGACCTGAGCCCATATTAAGAATTTGTCTTGAGCTTATTAGCTAGTCTATCACACTTTCCAGGGTTCTACTCCACATCACAATCCCTGGCATACTTGTCAAAAATGCAGACTCCTGGTGTCCATCCCAGACCAAAAGGAAGGACTGCTTGCTGGGTCATATTTCTGATTTCCACATTCTCCAGGGGATTCACCCCGTGAGGACTGTAACAGGTGTGAGTCAGGAGCCCCATAAGTTTGGTGCTGATGTTGACCTATTGTCTTCCTTATTGTAGTGCTGTGGCTATTTTCTTTAATTGTGGCCAAATATTGTACCCTGGAAATGTCAGCACTTTTAGTGTAGAATATAAAGTAACTTTTTTTAACTGCTTCCTCTGTGTTAACAGTTCACTGTTATTTACTGGGTTATATGTCTACAGAAGATCCATTTATCCAAAAGACTAGGAAAGACAGACACATGTAAAACAAGAGATTTATCCCAAACCCTCTGACCCTCATACTTCTGCCTCCTTAGCTGCAGTTTGCCTTTATTGCCCTAGATATAAGTAATGACAACAGTGATTCAAGTGTGAAAACTATACTCATGAACCCATTTTTGCCTCTCCACAGTCCGATGAAGGAGTCAGGGCCATCTCTCAATTTGTACATCACCCAGCATATAGGGGAGCCTGGCTGGGGCCCCAGCAGGCTGAGACCAGAGCCTTGACCCTTGACCTCTGAACCATATGGCTCCAAGAGGACCTCCTTCAACATTATTTTGGTCTTAGGGCACCACCATTTGATGATAATGATGATGGCAGCGATGATGATAGGATGACAATGCTTTCTAAATCAAATGCTTGTATTTAAAGTATACTGAATTATTTCAAAAACAATTTGTTCTTTTATATCTAAATCTCCATTTATCTTAAGATATGTCCTAATTCTTTGAAAATTTTATTTTCAAAAACAAAGCACATCCTATTTATAGAGAAACCAGTAATGAAACTACATTTTTATTCTAGGAAGCCTTACTATTTTGAAGCTTGTAAGGTTTTACCGGCCTTCAGCATCATTCAGCTAAGTCTGATGAAAAGACCTATGCTAAATTGTTTTTCTATTTCTTGCTAGTAAAATGTACACACTCTAGATACCTGAGTATATATTTTAAGTATAGATGTTTCTGTTTATTTGGAGTCACCCTGATGCTTACAGTCTGAGGTATTAGATTACAAGT